GCTAAATGAAATTCCCATTTTGCACCACCAAGACCACATCCAATTTTCTTTGGAAAAGACAACACTTTGTCGTTTCTCTAGTTCTTCTAGGCATTTCTTAAACCACACTTATCTATGTTCTGGTATGTCCAAGTATGGCCTAATTGGTGTTCTACAGGATTTATAGCACTTTCCCTATTCCCGTTTTTCCAAAAGGCAAACTACATGAAACCATTATCAAATAATAAATGGTTACTAGAGGAAATCTAGAATTCCTCTAGTTTCCACAGTTGCAATATTTCTTTCCTTTATGAGTATTCATATTTCACAAATGTCTACCCAGGGGTATTTTCCAGCAACATAAGCTGAAAGTCCACAAAGCTTTAATGTTAAACAATTAACAACATAGATTACTCCTACCATTATTTATATTATACGCTCCACAAGGAGTAAAATCTATGTATTAAAACTGATCTTAATGTAGTTTTTCTTCAAAACTCTCAAAGTACGCCTCATTTCATTGTAAATGTTATATGGATGCATTTTCCAACAAAAACCACTCCACCCTCTTTTGATGTTATGGTAACATTTTGCACAAGCTTTATGTACACAGTTTGGTAGAAATCTAAAATTTGCATAACTTGTTTTAAGTTGACAAAGTAAACATTGATCGGTATTTGCATTTAACCAGCTTTTTGATACATTTACCCTGTTAATTTTGCATTCAATCCATGGAACGGCTTCATAATTTGGAAATTCTGTAATGGAACACTTACAGGACCATCCTTTCCTAATATTGTAATAATATCTACATCAGCATTGACAGCATAAAGGTACTTATGTTAAATGGACTTTAACGACAAAGTAATCACATAAAAACAGAGTTCCTTATTTTTGTTAGTATCGCTAGAGGGGGCCATTTTAAAAGTTAATATTTATATCTACAATATTCACTCTATAAACAACGGTGATCTATGCTTTAGAAATATCTCTGCTCAATGTAATGACCTGTTAAACAATATCGGATACGACTACATGGTCGCTCAACGGATAAGGTCAGCTACCTGGACAGTCATCGGATGAGGTCAACTCAGGTCAGCTACCTGATGGGGTCAACGAAAAAAGGTCACCGGCGGTGTGGGCGGAGCCCCGGATCGGTAGAATATACCTATTTAATTAAGATCTATCGAGGTAAGATAGATAAAAAAACTCTTCTTTAGTCGCCCATGTAAAAACAAACACGAGTGTTTATACTCCGAGCTATGTTGCTATATTTGAATATATTGCTTATTTACGTTTATTCACAGGAGAATGTGTTTTTATTTAGAACTGTATACTACAATTATTATGTGCTCTAATGTATGGTTCATAAGAGGTCAAGAGGTTTTTGGCCTGGTCCTAGGATTTTTTGTTGTTGTTTTTTTGTTGTTTTTTTATATTTTTCTTACAGAGTAAAAGGTTAAAAGGTTGAGCACTGTACTATCAGTGGCCATGATGAATGTAAACATGCGAAGAAATTTTTGTTTGTTTTTAAATAACGTTAAGCCAGTAGGTTGTGACAAAATTTAGGCAATATGACGGATGCATTTAATTTAGCCATAAATTTACCACTCGTTTCAGAGCTCACTAAAAGGACACTTGCAACGAAAAGAGTACTTTTGTTCTTGTCTACCAAAAGATGCAATTTCTCAAGTTGAAAATTCAAAATCGATTGTAAGAGGAACTGTCAATTAAAGACACTTTGGAAATCCCCATGGTTTTCCGGTGTAATGGAAACTATTTAAGTTACACTTGATTGTCCACATTAATTTATTAGTGTGTACATTGTAATTCAATTTACTAGCAAAACCTTATATACCATCATTCTTTTCGTGAGTTTGCCCTTTTTATGATTCCTCTTAAATTTTTATGGCCTCAAGACCGATTGATTAGTTAAACAGACTGTTCCTATTAATAGTTGAATTTCTAACCTCCATGATTTATTGTTCTTGTATCTTTTGTGATTAAATTAAATCGTTCACTTATTGGCTTGACTTTTGTTATTTTGATATTTATAAAACCAGTAATGCATTTCGACAACATTTTACAAACATGTCTTTCTACTATCTACATCTAATAAAAATATTTTATATAATTTAAGCACGATAAATTTATGTCTAAATAATCTTATGAATGATTTTCGAAAGAGTTTAAAAGGCCCATTATGTCCTAAAAATACTTAAATTCAAATTTCTCAAAAGCTTTTTATTTCTGATGTCATGTTATATCATTTCTAAAAAGTTTGTCGTTGGCCATTAACCTGAGCCATCTTTTGCTTTGTTGCCTTTTGGTAATTAGTACAGTTACACGTGTACAATGATAGAAGTCAAAATACTACTTTGTTTGCATGTAATAGTTTCACATTCAGGGCTTCTTTCTTCAAGAGATAATTAAGCATCTAACATGCTCTTAAACCACATTTCAAGGTGTAATAGGCCTACTCAGGTTTCGCTTAAAATGAATGAATGAATATTCATTTCTGAGGCATAATGTGCTTTAAACATAAATTGTTTGTGTTATTATACATGTGCTCTACATCAAAACGTGCCGTAAGTAAGCACAAGAAACACGCTGGCAGTAATAAAGTTATCATAAGAACTCCAGGACATATTTTGAGTTATCACAAGAACTCCGTGACATTTGAAAAATCGGGTATAAATTTATTAGTCTGGGCTTTATGTTTGCAACTCTGCATTATAATTTTGTGACTATGTATAGCAACGAAGTAAATCACAAATGAAAAGGTCAATATGTACGAATGAGCAAGTAATTTGGAAATTTTACTCAAAACTATCAGATTTTTTTTTAAAAAGGCGATGAAAAATGGAATAAAGGTTTTTTCTGAAACATTATACAATATGTAGGGCAAGCTTAATTATCAAAGTTTTATTTAGCACCTCAAACTCCCCATTTAAAGGTAAAAATGACCATTTTTTACGTAAGTTCTCCAAGTAAATAGAAAAGTTTTCCACAGAAATCTGTAACGTTTTCCAGGAACTCCGTGACAGTTATCATAAGAACTTCAAACAAGTTATCATAAGAACTCCATCCTTCGTGTTACACTTCCTCCCCCGTGATATAAGGGGATCGAATCAATTTCGGTTTTTTATGTGTTTTTATTGTTTGTTTTTATTGTTTGTTTTTATTGTTTGTTTGTTTGTTTGTTTGTTTGTTTGTTTGTTTGTTTGTTTGTTTGTTTCTTTCTTTCTTTCTTTACTTCTGCAACTAAAATAATAATTTTATTTTCATTTTCTATGGATCATACCCATCATTTCCAGGAGTGACTTGATGTCACGTGCACATGGAATGTTTCATGATCACATGTATATCTTGTCTTCCTAAATGATCTATAATACAAACAACTTATTGGATTAGTATAGTTTACAAATGTCGGTGCAAGGGGGTGTTGACTGTATTATATATTGGCGCCAACAAAAGTTTATCTCTGCCATGCTGGGAGACCTAAAAGGTTCCAATGTTTATAGATTGCTTTCTACTTATTATGAGTAATCCCATCCTGAAATGATATAGTTTTAGGTGATTGTGTTTATAATGGCCTAAGAAATCCTGAGCAACAGTGATGCTTATAGTGATAACTAAGCTGCAATTCTATAAGCACTGATGGAGTTTCATCTAAAATGTAACAGCTTATAGTTCAATACAATAACAATGTTTCCCTTTTTACCATACAAGTAAACGCTATTCTCGACCAAAAGAATATATGCATATGCATCTCTAATAAGTAACACTTTACATAGATTCCTATATGGTGTACACCTTTAGCATCAACGAACAAAGAACGGGACTTGTTAACAAACCATCATGAAAAAGATGTCCCCTATTCGTCTACTGGAGCAGGGCGGGAAGTGGGTGAACACTTGGTTCAAGCGAGAAAAACAGTTGCAAACTTGACAAAATGGCTACGTCTAGAGTTATGAACCACTTCAAGTCCTGCCCCTTGGTCAAGCACGCAGTTCGTCTTGTCCATATTGTTAACTACATACGATGCCGAATATAAACAACCAAAAGCAAAGCAAACAAACTATACATCGTGAATATAGATCTTATTCTTGCTTAAATCCCTAGCGTTAGTCTCAAAAATCGTATTACCAGTCAGTGGACTGTCCACATACATTTTTTTAATTCACATTTATAAATATGCTCGAACTTTTATTACTTTCTGCACTTTATATAAAAGTATACGTCCGTTCAGAACTTCACGATCAAGACCAGATATATGTAGCAGATTAAAATTTGAAAAACGTATATTTGTAAGGCTTCTAAGATCAAGGTTTTGGGCTTCAGCTAGCGTACCAATTTAAATACTGTGACAGGACGCATCAGATGAAAGAACAAAGTAAAAAAAGCGGCACATATAATAAGCTTTGGAAACCAGACTTACCCAGATCTACATCTAGATCTACGTTTATCGTGTCAAATACTTGCTTTTTTTTATTTTCAATTGTTTCTGATACTGATTTTCCTGTTTTCTTGAATAATTGCCACAGCTCGTTGTTACAATATTGAAAGAAAACCAAAATTAAACATATATTCGCGCATATGAACGAGAATACCAGAGACATAGATAACATTTTAAGTGAAAGGCATACAAAAATACTAATATTTTAACATGCAGCAAGAGATGAAAGTTTTAACTTTCATATGGTTTATACCACAGATATATATATACAGCTATGTTTAGCTCCATGTTTATACCATGCAAGGATCAAATCTACATCCATTAATGTTTATGTCTTAATTGCGATAATGGGTCTAATTTTCTTATATTTTTATAGGCATGTGTGATATTTCAGAGGAGTATAGGAGCTGCTTATCTTTGTTATCTACATCTCTGAGACTACTGGATATGAACATTATCTTTTCGAAATACACCAACTGGTGATATTTCTTTTCCAGATATCATAGAAGGACTTTGCAATTTCCCAATACTGTCCCGGTATTCGGGATACGGGATTTTTACCACCTTTATGTACGGATTAATGACGGGATTAGACAAGTATAAAACATGTAAATATCCAATTATGAAATAGTATTTATAATCGTAACTAAACTCAGATTCTACATATATTAAATATTGATGTTGATCATTAACAAATTTGCAAAAACATTTCATGTCATTGTATAAACTTTAATTGTGTACAGTGTTGTTAGTAATGTTGTTAGTGATTTATTGTAACAATTCGTTCTCAAAAGTTTCGTACACATTAAACCTTGAAATTTCTGCTTTGATATCAATGCTTATGTTAACAGTTATTAGTACAAAATGAAGTAATGAATTATGAAATATATTTTTTTCATTAAGGAAGTGGCTTGTATATGTGACAGTTCGAACTATTCACTATTTAGGTGTGATGATGTGTAAGCGGCCAGGTAGCTCATTCGGTAGGGCCACGGTATGATGTCCTGGGTTTGAGTCCTGGTCAGGCTGCACATTTTCTCACCCTGTGACATTTGGCACCCAACATGGTGTGTGATAATATAAGCTCCAATTCCAATTTCACATTGTTCTCTGTACCCATTAGAAATCTGAGGACGAATTGCAATATACATGTAGCAGGAGAGTACATGTATGTCATGGTTCAGAACTGTTCACTATTTAGGGGAGATGATGTGTAAGCAGCAAGATAAATCAGTCGGTAGAACGGCAGTACGGTATTCAGAGGGTCCAAGTTAATGTCGGGATCAGGCTGCACATTTTTCTCACCCTGTAACACGTGTACACATGTTCCACATGACTGATGTGTGGTAATTGTTAATTGGTCACTACCGCCAACCGGGTATGACTAAAATACAGAAGTGACTTTTCAGATAAAGTGAGCAAAAGTGACTAAAAATATTAAATATAGTGTTTAAATGGAATTTTATATTAATATTGCAGTTTGTAGATGTAATTATCAAAAATAAACAATATCTATTTTCAAAATAATCATTTTGATGTTTGATGGTTCAGTCTCGTTTTGTTTGCACATAAGTAGATTATTTAAAAAAACAACAACAAAAAACTGGATCATGAAGTACTAAAAATGACTTATTGTTAAAAGGGTTAATTACAATGTATATTAATTAATATCTTCTTCAAGACACACAATTTTGCCATTAAATGATAAAGGATAATCAATTTCTTTTCAATAAGATTAAAAATAAAGAACATGTTTAGTGCATTCAAAACAGCAACATTCTCTTCTTCTTCTTCCGGGTAATGTGCTGGGCCCCTCTGGAGTATCGTCGCACAATTGTGACTATTTACATGAGTGAAGGGAACATCAAGTGCAGCTAAAAACAGGTTAAAAACACCATGCTCCAGAGTTACTCGTGCAGCGCACCTATCCTCGTCTTGAAGACCTCTAGGGATGGGGCTGTCATCACGACTTCTGGTAGGCTGTTCCAAAGTTGGATCCCAGAAGGAAAGAACGAGTACTTGTACGAGTTGACACTGGTAAAGGGTTGTAGGTACTTGTTGGCATGGCCTCGGGTGTGTACTCCAGCAGGGATCAGTATGTGATGGGCTCGGATATCCACCAGGCTGTTAATGACTCTGTACATCATCACTGCTTTGGTTTGCTGACGGCGGGCTTCTAGAGTGTCCCAGCTTAGAGCTTCCATCATTGCAGTAACGCTGCTGGTGTGACAATAATCACCTGTGCAAAACCTGGCTGCTCTTCGTTGGCAGTTCTCGAGCTTACTGATGTTGGCCTTAGTGTGTGGGTCCCATACTGACGAAGCATACTCAAGCTGAGGTCTAACCAGTGTTTTGTAACATGTCGCCTTGATGTTCTGTGGACAGTGTGATAAGTTTCTGCGTAGAAAGGCAGTGGTGGTGTTCGCCTTCTTTGCAGTAGCGTCAATATGGCTGTTCCAGGAAAGCGTATTGTCAAGTGTGACACCCAGATACTTTGCCTTGTTCGTCTGCTTGAGTGTTTGGCCATGGATGGCATAGGACCAAGTTATCACTTTCCGCTTGTTGGTAATGCGAATCATCTCACACTTGTCAGGATTGAACATCATCAACCAGTCTTGCTCCCAATCTTGTAGGCGGTCAAGATCCTGTTGTAGTGCAATGCTGTCTTCCTCAGAGCTGATGGCCCTATATAGTAGGCAGTCATCTGCGAAGAGGCGTGCTGTGGAGGAGACCCTGTCCGGCAAGTCTTTAATGTAGACTAGAAACAAGAGAGGCCCTAGGAATGTGCTTGCGGGACGCCTGATGTGACTGGTGCTGGAGAGGATGTCTTCCCGTCGAGTACTACTTGTTGTTGACGGTGTGAGAGGAAGCTGTTGATCCAACCCAGAGTCTTGCCTCTGATCCCATAGTGGTGAAGCTTGGCCGAGAGACGTCGATGGGGGACCTTGTCAAACGCCTTGGAGAAATCTAGTAAGATGGCGTCGATCTGCTGTTTGTTGTTCAGGCCCGTTGCAAGGTCCTGGACTGTGGTGATCAGTTGCGTCTCGCATGATCTCTTCTTCCGAAAGCCATGTTGCATATCTGAGAGGATGTTGTTCTGATCGAGGAAACTGATCACGTGGCTATGGACAATGTGCTCCATAATCTTGCAACAGATGGATGTCAGCGAGACTGGGCGATAGTTTGAAGGCTTACTCTTGTCTCCCTTCTTGAATAGTGGTGTGACTAGTGCGCCCTTCCAGTCATCTGGTACTTGGCTCTGATCGTGTGAAGCTTGGAATATGAGTGTCAGCATTGGTGATATGGCTGAAGCCAGTTCCCTCAGAAATCTGGATGAGATCTGGTCCGGTCCAGTGGCCTTGTGTGGGTTGAGATTCTCCAGGAGCTTCTTGACACCCTTCTCATGGATCTGCAGTGGAGGGGCTGTTTCTTGAAGGTTAGGGCCCATGTTCGGTAGACTCTCAACACCTTCTTCGGTAAAGACGGAGGAGAATTGGGCGTTGAGAATCTCTGCTTTGGCACATGGATCCGAATGGCTGATGCCATCTTTCTTGAGTGGTGCAACGCCTGAGCTGTCACTCTTCATGCTCTTGACGTACGAGTAGAGCTTTTTGTTATTGGTACCAGACTCACTGACCATGTTCCTATCATACTCGTTCCTGGTTTCTCGGCACTTTTGTTGATTCTGTTTCTGGATGCTCCTGTAAATGTCCCAGTCTGTCTGGTTCTTTGATTTTCTGGCTTTCCTGTAGGCTCTTTTCTTCTTTCTAGCTAGACGCCTTATCAGTTGATTACACCAGGGTTGATTGAATCTTGTGGATGTCAGTTTAGATGGCACAAACTCATCGATGGTGTCTGAGCACTTCTTCTTGAAGATGGTCCACAGGGTGTTAATTGGGGTGCTCGAGTTGTGTTCCTGTATCTTTGTGGACTTGAGTTTCAATAAATAATTTACAGATGTAAGAAAATATATTGACAGTACTATTGTATTCAAATTGCAAACAAGAATGTAAGTATAGCAAGTATCCAAAAGAAGATCTTTTTAAGTTTCGCTTTTCATATTAGTAATTACATTGTAAGTGCATGTATAGCTAAATAAGACATATTATTTTAAAACTAATTTTCTTTTATTTCAGACTAAAAAGAAATAGAAAAAAATGTCAGCATTACCTCAGTCTTCATCAACCACAGCACCTTTCTTCACTGACTATAATGATCTTGCTTCAGATCAGGTGCTATTACATAATTATAACTTTTATTTATATGATTACTTATCTTTATATCTCTAAGTTACATAAATCCTATTACAACTTGATACACCACTGCCAGTCAGTCCTAATTTTCCACACAAACAATGAATAAAAAATCAATGACTCATTCTAATTTATAGAAATTATAGCACAAATTTTAATGAAAGTAAGATGAATCTTTGACACTAGCATTTTGGATGCGAAGCTTTCAGCTGTTTCTCATATATATGCAAAGAGCATAGACATTTAGCATGTAACAATTCCTTTTTGACCTTTACAAAATCAAGATGAATAATTAATGCCCCTGGGTTCAATATTGGCTATGTCCTTCTGGTCACTTGATTTATAAAGGAGAAACATATTTGAGTCTTATTGTGTGAAACTACAATGCCAAAAACTTATATTTGGCATGTTACATCACTTTGTGGGCCACAACATAACTGGTAATAATTATTTGGGTGAATATTGGCCCTGCCCGTGAGACACTTAGTATAGGAATAGTCTCTTTTAACTCTTATTTTGTGAAACTACAATGTATAGAGCTTAGATATTTGACATGTACATGTAGCATTTCCTGTTTGCCCACTACAACACTGGTATTAATCATGCCCCTTGGGTCAATGTTTGTCCCACCTTTAGTTGTCATTTAGTTGATATAGTGTTGATGAAAAAACACATTTGAGTCTTATTTTAAATATTTTTCATGTAGCATTTCCTAATGTTAACTTCTACAAAGTTGATGTAACTCATGCCCCTGGGGTCAGTATTTACCAAATATGTCAGGTCACTTGTTTTTTGTAGACTTATAATTATAAGAAAATTTAATTGAGTTTTATATCATGTATACCTAATTAAAAGCAACTTTATTTTTTAGGTTGGAGGGAAAGTTTTGTTTGCCACAGATGACTGGTTTGCTCCAGCAGAAAACTTAATCAAGGTGATATACGGTACTATTATCATACAAAAACTAGGGAATATACATGCTTTCCACATAGCAATTATTACCTCATTCCAGATGTATCTTATGCTTAAAATAATATACAAATCTCTTATAATTCAATCATTTTCATGTAAACTGATAAAAAAAATTTACATATTGGTGCTATAATAAAATTTAGCTGCATATATACATGTATACACAATGTTTGTATAAAAGAATTTGACAATTCATGTATATCAGTTTTTTACATGTATATATTACGAATTTTTCATATTTTGTCAATTATATTACATGATGTACATAGAATACTGACCCCAAAAATGGCTGCCACTTTTGGCAAGGGAAGTAAATATTGTAATAGTTGGGAACTACATAATAACAAATTATAATACCATTTCAGACAAAACCAGCTTGCATATGCATCAAGTATAATTTTCAATATTTTTTTAGCTCACCTGTCACAAAGTGACAGGGTGAGCTTTTGTGATCGCTTTTGTGATCGCTTTTCGTCCGGCGTCCGTCCGTCGTCCGTCCGTAAACTTTAACTTTAAATGACATATCCTCATAAACCACTTAGCCAATTTCATCCAAACTTCACAGGAATGTTCCTTCGGTTGTGACCTTTAAAAATTGTTCAAAGAAAATTAATTCCATGCAGAACTCTGGTTGCCATGGCAACCGAAAGAAAAAACTTTAAATATCTTCTTTTAAAAAACCATAAGAGCTAGAGCCTAGATATTTCGCATGAAACATCTTCTAGTGAGTGTCTACCAAATTTGTTCAAATAAAAGTCCTGGGGTCAAAATTGACCCCGCCCCAGGGGGTCATTGATTTTCCCTATATGCATATAGTAAAAACTTCTTTTAAAGAACTCAAAGAGCTATGGCTAAGATATTGAGCATCAAACATGTTCTAATAGGTGTCTACCAAGTTTGTTCAAATAAAAGCCCTGGGGTCAAAATTGGCCCCGCCCCGGGGGGGGTCATTGATTTTCCCTATATGCATATAGTAAAACTTAAAAAATCTTCTTTTTAAAGAACCCAAAGAGCTAGAGCTAAGATATTTAGCATGAAACATTTTCTAATGGGTGTCTACCAAGTTTGTTCAAATAAAAGCCCTGGGGTCAAAATTGGCCCCGCCCCGGGGGGTCATTGATTTTCCCTATATGCATATAGTAAAAACTTAAAAAATCTTCTTTTAAAGAACTCAAAGAGCAATGGCTAAGATATTGAGCATCAAACATGTTCTAATAGGTGTCTACTAAGTTTGTTCAAATAAAAGCCCTGGGGTCAAAATTGGCCCCGCCCCAGGGGGTCATTGATTTTCCCTATGTGCATATAGTAAAAACTTAAAAAATCTTCTTTTAAAGAACCAAAAGAGTTAGAGCTAATTAAGATATTTAGCATGAAACATGTTCTAATAAGTGTCTACCAAGTTTGTTCAAATAAAAGCCCTGGGGTCAAAATTGGCCCCGCCCCAGGGGGTCATTGATTTTCCCAATATGCATATAGTAAAAACTTAAAAAATCTTCTATTAAAGAACTCAAAGAGCTATGGCTAAGATATTTAGCATCAAACATGTTCTAATAGGTGTCTACCAAGTTTGTTCAAATAAAAGCCCTGGGGTCAAAATTGGCACCGCCCCGGGGGTCATAGATTTTCCTTATATGTGTATAGCAAAAACTTAAAAAATCTTCTTTGAAAAAACCCAAATAGCTAGAGTTAAGATATTAAGCATGAAACATCTTTTAGTGAGTGTCTACAAAGTTTGTTCAAATAAAAGACCTGGGGTCAAAATTGGCCCCGCCCTGGGGGTCATTGATTTTCTTTATATGTGTATAGCAAAATCTTAAAATCTTCTTTGAAAAAACCCAAATAGCTAGAGTTTAGATATTAAGCATGAAACATCTGCTTGTAAGTGTCTACAAAGTTTGTTCAAATAAAAGCCCTGGGGTCAAAACTGGCCCGGCCCCAGGGGTGTCATTGTTTTTAACTATATGTGTATAGTAAAAACTTGAAAAAAATCTTCTTTTAAAAAAGGCCAATGAGCTAGAGCTTAGATGTTTAGCATGAAACATCTTATGGGTGTCTACCAAGTTTGTGCAAATAAAAGCCCTTGGGTTAAATTGGCCCTGCAACGTTGGGGGGGGGGGGGGCTATATACAGGTGAGCGACCTCAGGGCCATCATGGCCCTCTTGTTTAATTATACCCCCAAAAACGAAGTTTGGGGGGGGTATATAGGAGTCACCCGGTGGTCGGTTGTTGGTCGGTCGGTCGGTTGGTCGGTCGGTCGGTCCAGCGGTCCGTTGCATTTTCCTTGTCCGGAGCATAACTTGAAGACTAATAGTTGGAATTCAATATAACTTCATACAATGGTCAAGCACATTGAGAGGAAGTGCAGTGCACAAGAACCATAACTCTATCTTGACTAATTACAGAGTTATTGCCCTTTGTTACTTTTCCTTGTCCGGAGCATAACTTTAAAACTACTGGTTGAAACTCGAAACAACTTCATACAATTGTCAAGCACAATAAGGGGAAGTGCAGTGCACAAGAACCATAACTCTATCTCAAGTAATAACAGAGTTATTGCCCTTTGTTATTTTTCCATTGCTTTCTTTTGTCCGGACTATAACTTGAAGACTAATAGTTGGAATTCAATATAACTTCATACAATGGTTAAGCACATTGAGAGGAAGTGCAGTGTACAAGAACCATAACTCCATTTTGACTAATTACAGAGTTACTGCCCTTTGTTACTTTTCCTTGTCCGGAGCATTACTTGAAAACTACTGGTTGTAATTCAAAACAACTTCATACAATTGTCAAGCACAATAAGGGGAAGTGCAGTGCACAAGAACTATAACTCTATCTAAAGTAATTGCAGAGTTATTGCCCTTTGTTATTTTTCCATTGCTTTCTTTTGTCCGGACTCAAACTTGAAGACTAATTGTTGGAATTCAATATAACTTCATACAATGGTCAAGCCAATTAGAGGAAGTGCAGTGCATGAGAACCATAACTCCATTTTGACTAATTACAGAGTTACTGCCCTTTGTTACTTTTCCTTGTCCGGAGCATAACTTGAAAACTACTGGTTGGAATTCAAAACAACTTCATACAATGGCCAAGCACAATAAGGGGAAGTGCAGTGCACAAGAACCATAACTCCATTTTGACTTATTACAAAGTTATTGCCCTTTGTTACTTTTCGATTGCTTTTTTTTGTCCGGAGCATAACTTAAATACTACTAGTTGGAATTCAATATAACTTCATACAATGGTCAAGCTCATTGAGAGGAAGTGCAGTGCATGAGAACCATAACTCCATCTTGACTAATTACAGAGTTATTGCCCTTTGTTACTTTTCCTTGTCTGGAGCATAACTTGAAAACTACTGGTTGGAATTCAATACAACTTCATGCAGTTGTCAAGCACATTAAGAGGAAATGCAGTGCACAAGAATTATAACTCCATTTTGACAAATTACAGAGTTACTGCCCTTTGTTACTTTTCCTTGTCCAGAGCATAACTTGAAAACTACTAGTTGGAATTCAAAACTATTTCATACTATGGTCAAGTATATTGAGAGGAAGTGCAGTGCACAGAAAGCATAACTCTTTTTTGACTAATTTAAAAGTTTTTGCCCTTTGTTACTTTTTATTGTCCAGTGCATAACTTGAAAATTAATGGTTGGAATTCAATGAAACTTTATACAATGGTCAAGGGCAGTGAGATGAAGTGCAGTGCACAAGAACATTAACTCTATTTGGACTAATTACAGTTATTGCTTTTGTTACTTTTTTGTCCAGTGCATAACTTGAAAACTAGTAGTTGGAATTCAATACAACTTCATACAATGGTCAAGTGCAATGAGAGGAAGTGCAGTGTACAATAGCCATAACTCAATCTTCAGTATTTATAGAGTTATTGCCCTTTGTTCCTTTTCCTTTTCTTTCTGGACTTCTTACAGAGTAATCCAATAAAACTTCATCAATGGCCAACCACATTGAAAGGAAATGCAACATACAAGAACCACAACTATCTTTAATTGCCCACAACCATAACTCTATATTTCAATTCTTTTACAAGGTATTCTGTTACTAGTAACATCCTCATTTCCAAAGCAGTCTTGCGGGGGGTATTAATCACATTTAGTGATAGTTCTAGTTTCTTTGTGTTGGCATTTATTTTTATTTAAAATTCAAAGTTCTTTATTAAAAAGATATAATGGGGGAGGGCGGGTTGGGGCGTACTAATCTTATCAATTAAAAGCCACATTGGGTTTTAAGTTTCAGTTATCGATTATATATGCTCCTATAATTAAAAGGTAGATATAAATTATTTTTTTCTAGGATGAATCTCCAGTATTTAAGGAAGGTGAGATAACAGACTATGGTATGTGGATGGATGGTTGGGAAACCAGAAGAAAAAGAACGGAAGGTCATGACTGGTGTATTATTCAGTTAGGTATGTAGTCATTGGAACCAGACAGTCATTGCTAGAACAATTATTATGCAAAAGTTCTGATCATAGATTTATGTCCCCTGTATAATCTGACACGACTTAATATTTTATACAAAAGCCCAGAATATTCTGATGGGCATTTGACCGTCTCATTTCCTAGTTAAAACTTTTTTTCTTCTGAGCTCTGTTACGAATCTCTAGATTTTTATAAGTCAGTGTACATTTTGTGCCAATTTCTGACCAACCAAATACCAGTGATCCCAGTTTAAAAATACCTTGAGATTTCTCTATTTTTACCAATTTCAATGCAATTTTTCGTGATTATTATGCGAGTAAGCATGAAAATCGCTCCCAAGAATGATCCCTGCAAGAATAGCCCGCTATAGTGCAATAATCAATTATAACAGTAGTTTCTCTTCAGAGGCTGTACTGTATATTGTTTATCATTGATTCAAACATCTTTTGATTAAACAAGTATGAAATATGTTTTCCTTCTATCTTTAGGATCTGAAATAATTAAAAACTATAATGGTCATGTATTTTTAGCCTGACTGTTGGAAGAATAGGGAGAGCTATTGTACTCACCCAGGCGCTGGTGTTTTTGTTTGCATCATGCTTTGGTTAAGGCTTTGCATGCAAACTAGGTATCTCTAAAACTTCTGAAGAGAATGGTTGAAACTTCACTAACTTAAGTTTGAGAACATAATAGCACTGTTCAAGGCCAAAAACATGGATTTTGCCAGAATTAATCTTTAGCATGGATTTTGCCAGAATTACGGCCCTTATTAAACTTAAAGTGACATTATGCTCATATTTTCAATATCAAGTTAAGCTGAATTGACAATATATTACAAAAGATTGACTGTTTTAACGGTGACTGACCAACGGTTGATACAAAAAAAATTTTTAGCATAAAATATAATTCTATCTTCAATATAAACTTTTATAAAATTAAACATCACAAGTAAAATCCGGTAGATATTTATAAAACTTTCCTTTGATCCTGTGAGTTATTTTTCTTGCATGCAAATTTAACTATAAAACTGAAAGGAATTATCACAAAAGGAAAACTTATTTTGACTTTCACCTACTCACTATATACCCTTGGGTGGGAATAATGTCACTTTAAGAAATTCTTTATTATCAAGGCTCTTGTTTTACTATCAAGCTCTGAGAATAGTAGAGCACCCTGTCCTTCATTTCTTCAACAGCTCTTGTTTTCTATTGATGTCAGTTCATTGGTAGCAAATTTAGTTGGAATACTATTAATTTTGATAAATTTGATTCATTAGCAAGCACCTTTCTTACTCAATGATTTGTTCTATTGCTACATGTATGACAGTTTTGTGTCCTCATTTTAGATAAAACAGAATAGGACATATTTTTTTCTATTTATTATAAACAGGTGTAGCAGGTGTGATATCAGGTGTTGATGTAGATACATCATATTTTACTGGTAACTACGCACCTAGATGTTCAATACAGGCAGCATGTTTACCTAAATGTAAGATTTCTATTTATATCAGTCGTTTTTCTGTAATTGCTTCTTTCCTATAGATGAAACAAAGATAATATTTATGAAACAATTTAAAGATTTATTTAAGGGACTTTACCAAGGTTCATTTGACATGACAGTATTTTTCAGATTTATGTACCATTTGATATAATTTTGAACCAATATCCTGTGTTCTAATTTCAGATCATTCGCTCACTTGGTTTGTCCAGAATGATTATTCTAATTGTAAAACTGACCCTAAATTGAAAAACATAGTTTTTAATTTAAATTTTAATCAGATTGGTCAATCATATACTTTTTATTGGTCTTATCCAATTTATTTATTGATCTCACAGTGAAACCTTCAAGTGAGAAGGAAATTATTGGTTTCCAATTTCTACTACTGATAAACTTCTTGTGGTTTTTTTTTTTCTAGAGTTTTTGTTTCTGTAATGACGTTAATGATTATTTCAGCATATTCAAAGAGGGAAGGAGAGAGGATAGGACTCGCTGCAACAGAGGAAGACTACAAGATGGTGGAACAGCTCCAATCACAGGTTTTTAGTTATTTCATATATTTTGGTAAAAAAAATGTGTGTGTGTCTTAAAGTGTATAAAGCTGATGCAAAAATTATTGTTTGAATTTTAAAAAAGTATACTTCCAAAATGCTTGTATAAAATAAATATGGTAATTCAGTGACGTAAAAGTGAATTGCGCATGCACAAAATCATTGCTAAACGGATAAAGCCCTACTTAAAATAGCAAAATAATATTTTGTTCCGGAACATTTTATTCTGTTTATGTACAATATTCATGTGTATAAATTAACAGAGACATTTTATGTTACAACTTTTTTGTGAATCAACCATATAATAACGGAACCAATATAGTTTTACTCTTGATAAATTTAATTAAAATATTTCATAAGATATAGATTCATACCCTTTAACTTAATCCATTAAACAGAACATTTATTGTTTACGCCTAAGATTTCTTATGTGTAACTGATATTCAATCAAAGCAAGGTGCTGATCACAAGCTTTTCTTTTGTAGAGGCATAATTCTTTCCTTGATTGATAGTGATACTGTTGTTACTTGTTATTGTATCAATTACTTTATGTTATGTTTTCAGAATTGGGATTACATTGTATCGCTGACCCAACTTCAGCCAGGCTTCCTAACTTCCTGTCATAACTTCTTTGAATCAACCAAGAAGAAAAAATATACTCATATACGACTGAACATATATCCAGGTACATATAATGTCATATAGTACTGGCAGTGATAGTATAACTTGTCTATACCACCAGTTTAACTGTTAACCTACTTAATTTGTGTACTGAATTAGCCCTGATTTTGAATTTGGAATAGTGCATTCAAAGGACTTTAAAAAAACATAGTTAAAAGATTGAATAACCAATGGTATAAAGCCTAGACAGACTGTACATATATGTACTGTAGATACTGGTGGCTAGGGGTATCAAGTTTATCCTTATAAACAGGTACAGTGGGTGTTTAACAAAACAAAAAAGATTAGAAAATTCTGGTAACTGAGGTTAGCATTTGACAAACAGGCGAAAAAGTTTTAAATTGATTCTAAATATTACCTTATCTTATTTTTATAACAAGATTAAGTATTCTAGTTGTACACAACAATGTATTTTTTTCCGATCTGATCGAGTATGGTACGACCCTAGCGGAAAGAAGTTACTTCATACTCGGATATGTATTGTAATCATTTTGCGTACAACAAAATACAAACAAAATGTCATACCTTGTCTTAAAGAAGCAAAGTTAATGTTGAAAATCTAAGGATTTTATTGTATGGCCGGTTAAAAGTTTAACACGGCTATTAGGTTGCCGTTTAATTGGTTGCATTTTTTCTAACCGTGACACCTCTACTGGTGGCAAAGGTTGGAATCATTTTAGGTTCCATAAAGTTTGAAGTTATATGAGACGAGGCTGTATATATATAGACAATTTAATCAGGCTCTATACTGCAGCCTGCTGATTTTTTTGTTCTGAAATCCACATTTAAGTTTGTTAAAGTTTGAACAATTGAATTTTGTTTGCAAGTTTTCAATAGTTAATTGTTATATTTAGCCAAACAGTCTTCATTTATATTTTGTAAAACACTTCAATTCAATATAAAGTAACATGAATTTAAACTGCCTTGACAATCATTGATAGTAAGTGTATCTAATGTATTCTGAAAGCCTTTAGTTCCAACTTTAACAAACAAACAAAAAACAAACCAGTAGAAGATAGTGCCTGTTTTTTTCACAAACCAGTAGAAGATAGTGCCTGTTTTTTTCACAAACCAGTAGAAGATAGTGCCTGTTTTTTCCTTGAATTTCTCCGGCCTTACAGTAAGATTTAAGTTGTGGAAGTGATCTATGCTTCAAATTTTGATTCGTAAAAAGAAATTAATAGTTTTTATCACCAGAAAAGAAGAATGTTCTGAGACATACCCAATGTCTGTTTAAAGCTTCTTTGTGACTGAAAAGAGCTGCCTGCATTGGATCCAAGAAATAGCTTACCAGCAAGGTATATAATAAGTAAATTCAAATCCAACAGTTTTAAAAGTTTAGTATTATATGTTATATTTACACAGATGGAGGTATAGCTAGATTAAGAGTGTATGGAAATGCAGCCCCAGACTGGAGTAAAGTTTCTGAAAAAGAGGTAATTTATATTTATACATACATTTGTGCGTAATTTAATGTTTAAACATAATATAATAAGTAAACACTTGTTATGATATGGTAACGAGTGTAATGGTAGAGTTGGTAATAAAATATCTATGCCACGGTTATAGAAACAGGCCAGCATGTACATTCATGCAATCTTGCATATCATACGTGATTTTCTACTGTTTACCAGTGTTAGAAGAACCTGTCTTACAACCTCTTTGTAAGGCAAGTCTCTTGCTTTATATGATGTCATTCACGTGCGTATTTTCTGAATGAATTGCATGCTAAGGATCATCATTTGAGTCGCGTCATGACAAAACCAACATAATGGGTTTGCGACCAGCATGGATCCAGACCAGCCTGCGCTTCCGCGCAGTCTGATCAGGATCCATGCTGTTCGCTGTCAGTTTCCCTACTTGTAATAGGGTTTGTAAGCGAACAGCATGGATCCTGATCAGACTGCACAGATGTGCAGGCTGGTCTGGATCCATGCTGGTCGCAAACCCATTATGTTGGTTTTGTCGTGACACGGCTCGATTTGTCATTTTAAATTCATACTTAACTATAAAAAAGAACAGTTTGATAAAAATATTAGTTTTCAGTATTTTTTCCCAAAATATAATGATATGTTATGTGCAAGAGAAAGAAATCTATCACCGGTTGTTGTCTCAGAGGAGAATATTTAGCTCTGGGATTACTGTTAAGTGGAAACTTGGCAGAGCCTCGTTAAAGGGAGACACAGGCAAAATTTTCTTTTCTTAGTTTTTAATTTTTCATTCATTATTCTGTAAATGTCCTCAAAATGAATACACTAAACAGTCAAAGGAACAAAACTTTTCTCCATATAAAGAAAAAAATGGTGTTTTCCTAACTTGACCAGGGCGGGTCAGGTTAGAGCGCTAAAATTTCACAATAGTTGTCACTCTGTACTCTGGAAACGTTAAAGAACATGTCAAATCAATTACTTAGACTTGTTTCAATCATACAATATCCGCAATACCAGCTATTGTAACTTCCAGGGTTTGTTCAAATTACATGACTTGTTTTTAAACTTTTCGGTGATTCTGTTGGCGTCTAAATTTCGTTCAACATATATAGAAACATTTACGCTTCAAACCCAAAATATATATAATTTATACAGAAATTCATGCTGGGACTTCAAGAAATGTCATTTTAGTGTGATTTCAGTACACAATGTCATTTTTATATTTTTGTCATTATTTTTTGCCTGTGTATCCCTTTAATGCCTCAACCAGTGAAAGATTCTCATAGTCTATATTGTTTGCTACTTAGATTTTATATTTAAATCCCTGAATCTAAAAATAAACTGAGCAAATGGATGTACATTATATATACAAATTCTGTAGGATAACATACTTGTAATTATAAAAAGAAGTAGTCATAAGTTCTGTCAGTAGTAATAAAGCTCAATGCTATAAACACTTTCTTGTTAGATATAGTTAAAAAAACAATTATTGGTCACTTTATTTCTAGCAGACCAAACTTTTTACAAATTTAGTCTACTTTATTTAATACTAAACTGTAACTCTTTTGAGTTAAAATATGATATTTTGACAGAGTTGCCTCCCTTTCATAGATGACGTTATATAGCCCTAGTGTATAAGATTGGTTCTGCTTATGATTTGAATCAGTATGTTTGAATATACAGGGGGGTTTTAATATCAAAATACAAAAATTTAACTACCAACAGGTTAGGTCTTAGTCAGACTGCATAGATGTGCCAGCTGGCCTGGCTCTATCCTGGTGGCAATGGTAAACTACTTTGGGTAGAGTAAATGGAGCACTTTTAGAATTTGTCTGCAGTAAAATCCATGTTTAATGATCTTAACCCTAACTCTCCAATGCTAACTCTTAACACTAAACATAACACTTAACCCTAACCCTAGATGTGATTCGAGTGATTTTAGAGAAACTTAAACTGTTAAATATTTAAGAAATAATTTTGTGTACAATGATTAAAAATAGCTGCAAACATATTTTAAAGTTAAGCAGAGTAAATTACCTGTTCTGGTGCAGTTTAATGTTTATACATTAAAAGAATAAAAGAAAAATTACAAAAAAAGAAATTAAAGTGACATTATGCCCATCCAAGGGTATATAGTGAGTGAACGGGTGAAGATCAAAATAAGTTTTCATTTAAGAAATAACATCGGCCTGAGAGGTGTATAATGGCTATTTTACACCAGTTTGGAGTTTTGATGCGTAGGAATTGACCACGAAGGCCGTAGGCCTGAGTGGTTAATTTTTTCGCATCAAAACGACAAAACCGGTGTTAAATAGCCGATATACACCTCTCAGGCCGATGTTATTTCGATTCTATCACGATAAAATAAGGAAGATCACTAATGTTATTTTTTCAAGCGGAAATAACTTCCGGTGCCGATTTTCGTATAACGCTGTTCGATTTTCGCACCCTACTGTTGCAAAGATATAGAAATTATTAAACAAAATAAATAATAAGAAAAAACGTTATTTTATCAAGTTTTCAACAATAAAAACTTACGTCGTATTGTGTTTACATCAGTGCCCCATTTATCATTCTTGTATGTATGAAATAACGTCAGCTTGTTTATGAATGAGTTGTTTACTTAGGATGACGTCATTACGCTACTTACGAATTGGCGCCGATTTGTCAAATTATTTATTTACTGATATGGATCAAATATGTGGCGTTAGTGTATGTGAGATATTATTTCGGTATTGTATGAAAAGAAAACATTATAAGAACTGAAAATATAAATAAAAATGCTTTTTATTGTTGCTTTTTAAAGGCTTTGTAAGCTATATAATCGAGGGTGAAAACATAAAAGCCGCATATACAAGTAGTCCCTAACCAGTGTTTATTGGCAGTTTAACACCGATTTCTTTCCTTCTTTGTCTATATTGACAAAATCACGTGGAGTGATAGATTTTGCCATAATTCCTTTTAATTTAATAATTAAGTTCGCATAAACAATAAATAACACACAGATCCAAACGAAATTTCTGTAAATATCATTAGAATTTACCTATAACGCTTAGTTTGTAAAAAAAAGAGTGGGGCAGTCTTTTTAAATTTTATGCAGATTTATAATTTTATCCTTAAAAATTTTCCAATCTCAACTGTTGGCCAAACACCATAGTGACAGTCAATCTTTTGAAATATAAAGTCAATTCAGCTCAACTTGACTATGAAAATATGAGCATAATGTCACTTTAATGCAAAGGTTTAAAAATGAATGATGTAAAAAGAGATACCATATGGTTATAAGATAAATGCTTCCAGGAGCTAAAGTGTGTTTGTAATATAAATCTTGCATATATTGTTGTTTTATTTTACAGTTAGTGGACCTAGCATCAGTAAAGAGTGGCTGTATATGTACAGGTTATAGCTCCACCAATAGAGGACATCCAAAGAACCTTATCCGGCCTGGCCGAGCTCAAACTATCATAGATGGCTGGGAAATATTTCCTAAGGTGTGATTTTTTAATGTCAAAACTTTTATTTTTTTTAAACCTAGTCCAATTGAACAAAATATATGCAGAAGTTTTTTTTCCAGCAGATAGCATCACTTATTAAAGTTAATACAGAAAATGAAAAAAAACATATCCAAACACTTCTAAGACTCCATAAAAAAATCAAGGGAACATAATTTTATACACCAGTTTGATCATCTATGCTAATGTGTTATTACTGTTTCCATTATCAATAAATTGTGAACAAGTTTAATAGATATTTGTTATAATGACAAATTTTGAAGGTGTACCTGGAATGGACTGCCACATTCTGATGGGAGGGTTCTGCTTACTGAGGCAAACAATACCGGTAGATTATTCTACTGTTCCTAATAGAGTCTTTATTTGAGCAGCGTCATGACAATGCGTTTGCTATCAGCATGAATTCAGACCAGCCTGCGCATCTGCGTAGTCTGATCAGGATCCATGTTGTTCGTTTACAAACCCTATAACAAGTAGAGAAACTGATAGCGAACAGCATGGATCCTGATCAGACTGCGTGGATGCGCAGGCTGGTCTGGATCCATGCTGGTCGCAAACCCATTATGTTGGTTCTGTCATCGCGCGGCTCATTTAGTGATCATTATTTTAGATAACTTTTATGTAGTTATTACTTAGTAACAAACTTATCTTATTGCAAGAAAATAAATATATGTATATCATAATTAAAGGATATTTACCCTAGGGTAGGGATGAAGTTGATTTGTTCAAGGTGAAGGTCAGTCACTTAGTCTATAAATAGTTCTTAACCATGTCAAAAGGTTATTATAGTGAAACTATTACATATTATATATATCATTATTTTCTATAACATGTATTCTGATTTGAAAAAAGTGAGGGGTCTTTTTCTTTTCTTTTAGTATTTTAATGTTTTTGTATTTAAGATGTTTTGTGCAAAAATGATTATTTCTCAGTTCTCACTTATCAGATTGAAATGAAAAGCTTTGGTTCACACGTGATTAATAGACCTTTATACTAAAGTAAAAAGTAATAAGTTTATAGTCTGACCAGCTGTCACATCTCTATTTGATTTATTGCTGAGTTTTAGACTTTTAATATGTAACTCCCTAAATCTTGTATTGAATCAACCAGAATACCAACCAGGACCATTTAATGAAATAAATTCAGCAGCATTACAGTTGATAAACATTTGATGACACTAACATTTAGAAATTGTTGACTATAAAATAATGATGTAATGTATGTTTCTATTATAGACTACTAGACCTACTGTAATTCAGGAATACAGGCACACTGGCAAATTATGTCCATCTGGTGAGTTTATTATTGACTTTAATAAATAATTTAAGGTGGATTTCAAAATTATGGTTCAACTTGGCATTTTGAATTAAAATTTTCCATCAAACCATGTGTTAAACACATATTATAGATAATTAAAGGGCTGATGATAATGAGTATCCACTCATTAGATATTAATACAGTGTATACAGTCTATTTGATGCACATGCCATTATAGATTCGCAAAAATAATGTGTAGAGCATACCGTAGTTGTAAATGTGTTAACTCATTCACATTTCTGAAACTGAAACATAAACATTGATTGTTTTGTATTGATTTTCATTATGTTTTATTATTATAAAAGTTTGAATGAGTTAGAAAATGATATATGTATAAGGAAAAAACGCAGTGGTCACTGTATTATAGTGGTTAGCATACGGTCTGTCCATCTGTAACACTTTTATGTCCTCTGCATATCTTTTAAACCACTGAAAAGGTTTTTAAATAATTTGGCAGAAATTATTACTTTTATGAGACGATGTGCAGAGCGCAATTATTTGGTTGCTACCCCTAAGCTCATGATCACACTTAAAGGTAAAGTGTTAAATGTCTACAATTCTTGTCAGTTAAGTAACATTTAAACTGCAGCAATGTTTTTAGGAGAACTTAGCAGAATTTATTACCATTATGAAATCATGTACAGAGCACAACAATTAAGTCAGTACCCTCAAGGTCAGGGTCACACTGAAAGGTCCAATGTTAAAACATGGTTACATCTAGTTTTCATGTCAGCTCTATAACTTATTGACAATTCAAAGGTTTTAACTTACTTGGCACAAATGATCCCCACCAAGACACAATCTGCAGAGCACAAAATCCAGGTTCCTGCCCCAGCCCCAGCCCCAAGTTACATTTAGATTGCTACCCCCAAAATCAAGGTCACACTTAAAGGTCAAATAATAAAGTTCAATTTTCCTGTCCTCTCCTAAATTTTTAAACTACTGAAAAGATTTTAAAATGACTTTGCACAAATGTTCACCATAATGCCATGATGTGTTGAGCACAAATGTTCACCATAATGACATGATGTGTTGAGCACAATATTGAGATGGCTACTCCCAAGGTCTAGGTCACACATAGAGGCCATATGTTCAAATTTTATGTCCTCTTCATAACTTTTTAACTACTTCATGAAATTTTTTAATTATATTGGCACATATGATCACCATCTCCACCTACAGAGGACAACAACCAGGTGGCTACCCCAAAGATCAAGGTTTTAACATAACAACCAGTCTTGAATTACCGAAAAAAAATTGCAAAAATAGCCTTTATTGTGTTAGTCACACAGTAGGAATATGGAAAAAAAATACTGCAAAATCAGTCATAAATTGCATATGACATGTTAATTATAACTTAAATCTTAACTATTCTTAAAATCTTCAAAAGTTTGATTTTTGTATAAAAATTTTGGCTCATCTGGAGATGGTGCAGCTTTAAATGTAGTAATGAAATTAAATACATTGGGGTGAGTCCTAGTGTCTTTGCTAAAAACTATATATTTCACTCTTTTTTGCAGAGAGATTTTGAATTAACTAAAATTGAAACAGTCTTAATTTAAAAGTTGTCTTTTAACTGGGAATATTGAGTGAGTATTAGAGGTAAATCAGTGGGTGAGTGGGAGTGGGAGGATACTTATTATTTTTCTTGTTTTAAATTCTCGGTTTGACTTTATGAGAATCTCACAGTGAGTGGCTATAATTATTGCATTTAAATATTTTCACAAGCATTTTAACAAATTTTAAACATAAAAACAGCACACTGATTTAGTTCTATCTTTTCTTATCTGTAATAAAAGTTTTACGAGCGAGAACAAAGAGATTAATGGGCGATATTTTTCAAGATTGAATCTTGAAATAAGATTTTACCAAAGATATTTTCACAGTGAATAAGAGAGCTTTTTAAATAAGGTAATTAACTCTATTGAGTGCTGGTTGCTATAAAGATTTACCCGTGCTCAGGCCTGCTGACAGTATAGGTGGCATTTTAAGCCAAGCACAAGCCCCACCAACATGCACATTTGTTGCTGACATACTGAACTACATACATGACATACTCTAACCTCAGCTTTAATTTTAGTATTTTGATTTTGAAATTCCTGTGATATTAGTTAAGTTAAGATTATAAAGGATAACAATTCCATTTTACAAAGTAAGACTATTGTTAAACAATAAAACAGCATTTTTATCATGGAAGTTGAAAGCCAAAGCCAGTAGAGAAGAAAATTGACAAAAGTCATTACATTATTCCTACTGTATAAGTGTGTTTGACTTTCCTTACTCACTATTATACAGGGTCCATACTCTTAATGCCGGAAAGAGTGGATGTACCCTTATTAAACTTATAACACAATGCTTACCAATCAGAAAATGTCTGACATGAGTTTCTCTGACAGAAAGATAAAAATTTCACAGATTTACAGGCTGTATAAACCTGATGTTAAGGGCTAATATAAAATGCTTAAAAATTGCAACTGTCTAATTTATTGATTTTAAGGATTTCAAAATTAAAGTACTTACCTGTAAATTGCTGGCTATACTGTGTGTATACAGGCTAACTGACCTGCAATTATTCTGGTAAGCATTCCAAACATTTGAGTGTTTAACATTTTGATCTATTCAATTATGGTTCTTCTTCCTAAGAGGGTTTTAAAATTGAAAAATAAAGTTAATGTTGGCTCAGATTTTTTATGCCCTACTGTACTACACAAATTGTAGCATTTATGAAATTTATGTCCACAATTTTAATTTGTCAAAGATTATAGAAAAAAAGAAACATAAACTATGGAAAAAAAAAGATATTTAAATTAACTATTACACATGTTATTTGTCTCAAATGTTGGATTAAGGAAAAGCGTGTACAAAACTCAATTTATTAAATTTGAATGTAAACAAAGGATACATGTTCATAGATATATTTAACATTAATAATGAAATAATCAGTGGGCTAGTTCACATTTTGTGTCTAAATAATTTGTAAATAAAATGAATCAAAATTTCATTTGTTTTACACTGTAATTGTTAAAAACGATATGATTTGTAACGTATTTCTCAAATTTTCTTGGTGCTACACTGGCTGTAGTTAATTATAAATGACCATTGCTTAATTTCTTTTAATTTATTAGAAGTTCTTAATAATAAAATCTCAAACTAAGTGGGACATGCAATGTCAACAAAAAGGGGGTCATATTTTCAAAAACTTAACATTATTTAAACGCTCCCTTGAAATGATGAAAAACTTTGTAGTCACATTTTAGATTAATGTTCTTCATTATTCAGGAAAGGGATAATATAATCTGATTATTAATTGAATTTTTTTCATCCTATTGGCATTTGATTGCAATTGTTTGACATGCCAGAAATGGTCTGGAAACTGTCACATATAAATGTTTAAAGTAGCAGTTGCTTTTAGATTGAGGAGCTTGAGACAATGTTATATAAGCAACTGAAATAACAAAAAAGTGCAAATAAAAACATAAATATTCATTTTTCCAATGTGCCTCAACTTGGCTTTTATTTAGTATCTCCTTTGTATAAAAATTGAAAGGCATTTAAGCTTAATTTTGATTCATCATTCAAACTAGTTTATGTAAGAGTCTGATAAAGTAAAGACCTCCTCACTTTTTTACTCAGGTAATCCAAATCGGTTTTAACGTCCCACTCTTGTGATAATTCACATATATCAATTTTTACGATGAAACATTAAATGTGAAATGATTGTGATATTACAAGAGTATTGTATACTGTATTAATGAATGGTGACTGTGTGAAATAAAACAGCGGGGTAGGTACGATACTAATTAAGTGTGTCTCGTCTTTCTTTGCCACTTCAACGTTACATTATGATGTCTTCATTACCAGCCGTATTGTAAACAATTTAAATGACTTTAAGACAAAGGAAATAGACAATAGATTAAGGTAGCTTGTTGATTTAGAACTAATATTTCTACAAAATGATGTGGAAAAAAAAAAGTTGTTTTGAAGAGGTCTGTCTTTGTCAAGGTTTTATGGGTTTTTTGAGAGGGGTAAGTATCTTGCTTGAAGTGGGTTGCAATGTATTTATCCATTTTTCAATTTTCACTGAAGGGATTAGATGATAAAATATAATGCAATAAGTGATTTTTTTGCAGTTTTATAATTAAGAGAAGACATGGAATTATTACCTGTATATTTTAGCATGAAGCAGGGGCTGTCTGCAATATGTAAATAAATAACTCTAACGGTTTATTTTATGGGGCTGTTTTTGTAACTCTAAAATGTGATGCAGCAGTTAACTCTTGCATAAATCTAAGCAAACTCTGCACAAAGATTATCTATAGTGTCCTGATGTTCTGCTATTATAATTTAAGCTTAACTTCCTTTATTGTGGTATAAGAATTGATCTACATGTATGTGTAAAAAAAAAAAACCTTACATTTAGATCTTTTAATATAATAGGAAAACGAGTTTCTTGTTCCTCTAATATATATATGTGTGTATATTTTGTTCATTTTGTCTCTTTCTTCAAAATTCAACACATGGCAAAAATTAAAGTTGAAACTATATGTATAATAATTTTTTATTGAAAGTTTATGTCTCCATGTAATGTGCTAACATTTTTGAAAACCTTGTATTACTGTTGTTCTAGTGAGTAAAAGATTTTTGTCACATGTTGAAATTCAGTGATTTAACCCAAGCCTAAGGAACATACTTACAGGTCTTTTTTTACATTTTTATAAATTAAAAAGAATTTTGGAAGTTCGAAGTGTTGTATATCTTTTAACCAATATTTAGCAGAGAGAAAAAATCATATAAAAACATATTTTTACATGGCGAGACAATAATATTTCGAAAAATTAATTTGTTATTGTTATAGGGAAATTGTCTACAGAAAGGGAAATTATGTCTACAAATCATTGAATAATTATAGTCATCATTTCATTACATGGTTTGTAAAATCCATATAAGAATTATTGTCTGGCTAAATTAATAGGCGAAATTTGAATATTTAATAACTTTTTGTTGGTAATTATTAGATTCCAAAGAAAAACCATATAGTATATGGATTTAAAGTATATCACAACAGTGTATGTATAACTTAAAATTTCCAGCACAACACTAGCTTTACTTGCCTCAGTGATAAGATGTTAGAATTTCAGTTTCAAATTTAATAACAAAATAGGTGTCAGAAATTAAGCATATCCAAATTATCCATATGCTGCATAAAGAAATGATTACTCCAATCAACAATTGTAACAATTAATCCAATAAATTTTGTTTGTCAAAGATTCAAACTTGCAGCTACACGGTGACAATTCGGTCATACTTACCACTAGAACATTGGACCATAACTATAGATTAGTGTATCTAGAAGTGAAGCATCAATAAAAACAAATGGGTAAATATGTATGAAAAATAAAAACTCACTGAAAAACAAAATCCAAAAAAATTAATTAGTCTCAGATCAATATTGGCAAACAATAATTATACTTTTGTATTTAACAATATTTTATTTTTCCACAGGGTCAGAGTGGTGTACTTTTCAACTTGGTCATACTTGCATCGTACAAATGGTATGTATGTCTTAGTTATTTCTTTTAGAATGTAATAAATTCATCAATCTTAAATGATAACTTTAATTTTTAAAGAAAATCTTCATTATTTAACTGTTAAGGTCCTGATGAAATGTTCAGACAGGTAAAATATTTTGACATGAATTTCCTTTGTATTTCACTTTATACTAATAGAGTCAGGTCGATTGAATGGCCAACTTATGATTAACTTTACATTAATATTATGATCACAGTACAGTTAATTATGTTTTGGTGTTATTGAACTTCCTTTGGCCTCATTTCAGTCATTCTCACTAACCCATGGGTACTATTTACATATATATATATACACTTCATTCGATCGTCCCCGGTAACCTGTGCATACGTGTTAAGCATACTTTTTGTAATTCAACAAAATCAGTACCTGTTAGTTCTGACCGTGTATTTTAGTATGATATTCGCTGAATGTTTTTCAGGTTGAGGTTGATACAAATCATTTCAAGGGAAATTTTCCATACACATGTAAAGTTGAAGGTAATTGTATTTCTTCCTTATATAGCAGGAATAGGAAAAAAATGCATTTTCTATTAAAGAGAATTTGTAAAAGATAACGAATAGCAATAGTGCTGAAGGATACACATTCTGAAAGCAAGTTACCTATATTCAGCTAATGATTCTTTTACAAATCAGTGAATTGCAATTGAAATCCAACTTGACCTGTGTTTTTTATGCAAAGTTTCATACCAAATATGAATCAAATAGATAAAATTTTATAAAAGTTATTAAAACACAACAAATTGTCAATGGACTTACTTTGCTGATACTTATGATGTAAAACATGCATCATTGAGTATTTTACGATCATAAAAATCATCTATCTGTGATTATCCATATTTAACATACAGAAATCTTTCCATGCATCAGAGCCATACAAATGTAGGAGGATTTGCAAAATATACATGTATGTATAAATTCTTGTGTACATGAAGAGATAATATGTTATTTTTCATGTTATGTTACAGGATGTCTTGTTGATGACAGAGTTCTCTCAGAATCCTCCACTCCTTCCAAAAAAGAATGGAAAATTTTATTACCAGAGACTAAATTAAAGGGACACAATCAGATGTTTATAGATGTGACTAAATTAAGTAATGTAGGAGTTATCTCACATGTGAGATTGACAATTTACCCAGATGGTGGCGTGAGCAGATTTAGAATATGGGGGCGGAAAGCTCAGTCAAATTTATCAAAGTTGTGATACAATATCAGGTTTTTTATAGAATAACAAAGGCCTTAGACTTGTGAATCTCCTATAGGAAAAATGTTTATATCTGTATAAAATGTACATTTTTCAGTCAAAAAGAACAGTGATCTGGTTAATTTCAATCATGTGTTTGTTGTGTTTGTGTAAGTCTTTTTAACTCAGAAAAATACTAGTAGATAATATAAATGTATTTTTCACAAACTCCTCACTGTGATTACCTTTTTAGCTCGACTATTCGATAAGAATAAGTAGAGCTATTGCAGTCACGCGAGCGTCCGCGTCGGCGTAACCACTTATGTTAAAGTTTTTGTAATAGTTCAAATATTTTCAAAGTCCATTGATATATGGCTTTGAAACTTTGCACACTTGTTCACCATCATGACCCCAACCTGTAGACAGGAGGAGGTAACTCTATCAAGCATTTTGACAGAATTATGTCCCTTTTTCGACTTAGAATTTACGTTAAAGTTTTTGTAATAGTTCAAATATTTTCAAAGTCCATTGACATATGGCTTTGAAACTTTGCACACTTGTTCAACATCATGACCCCAACCTGTAAACAGGAGGAGGTAACTCTATCAAGCATTTTGACAGAATTATGCCCCTTTTTCGACTTAGAATTTATGTTAAAGTTTTTGTAATAGTTCAAATATTTTCAAAGTCCATTGACATATGGCTTTGAAACTTTGCACACTTGTTCACCATCATGACCCCAACCTGTTAACAGGAGGAGGTAACTGTATCAAGCATTTTTTTTACTATCAAGCACTAAGAATAGTCGAGCGTTGCTGTCCTACTGACAGCTCTTGTTTTGGCAAATTGTACTGATAAGGGGAGATCACTGCATAGGAGATTGTATTTTTTTTCTTACTAAATTGTATGTGTATTCTTGTAAGCTTATTAATTAATAATGATTAGTTGTTCAATTAATTTTAAAATACAAAGACAATGTTTATTTGTCACATTCAAAATTTATTTCCTTTAGCATTATCAAGATCAGATCTCATTAGCAATCTGTTATTTTATTAATTTTTAGCTCACCTGTCACAAAGTGACAGGGTGAGCTTTTGTGATCGCTTTTCGTCCGGCGTCCGTCCGTCCGTCCGTCCGTCGTCCGTCCGGCGTCCGTCGTCCGTCCGTAAACTTTTGCTTTAAATGACATCTCCTCATAAACCACTGAGCCAATTTCATCCAAACTTCACAGGAATGTTCCTTTGGTGGTCACCTTTAAAAATTGTTCAAAGAATTTAATTCCATGCAGAACTCTGGTTGCCATGGCAACCGAAAGAAAAATCTTTAAATATCTTCTTTTAAACAACCCTAAGAGCTAGAGCTTAGATATTTGGCATGAAACATCTTCTAATGAGTGTCTACCAAGTTTGTTCAAATAAAAGCCCTGGGGTTAAAATTGGCCCCGCCCCGGGGGGTCATTGATTTTCCCTATATGCATATAGTAAAAACTTAAAGAATCTTCTTTTAAAGAACCGTAAGAGCTAGAGCTAAGATATTTGGCATGGAACATCTTCTAGTGAGTGTCTACCAAGTTTGTTCAAATAAAAGCCCTGGGGTCAAAATTGGCCCCGCCCCAGGGGGTCATTGATTTTCCCTATATGCATATAGTAAAAACTTAAAAAATCTTCTTTTAATGAACTTTAAGAGCTAGAGCTTAGATATTTGGCATGAAACATCTTCTAGTGAATGTCTACCAAGTTTGTTCAAATAAAAAGCCCAGGGGTCAAAAATTGGCCCAGCCCCAGGGGGTCATTGATTTTTCCCTATATGCATATAGTAAAAACTTAAAAAATCTTCTTTTAAAGAACCCTAAGAGCTAGAGCTAAGATATTTGGCATAAAACATCTTCTAGTGAATGTCTACCAAGTTTGTTCAAATAAAAGCCCTGGGGTCAAAATTGGCCCCGCCCCAGGGGGTCATTGATTTTTCCCTATATGCATATAGTAAAAACTTAAAAAATCTTCTTTTAATGAACTTTAAGAGCTAGAGCTTAGATATTTGGCATGGAACATCTTCTAGTGAATGTCTACCAAGTTTGTTCAAATAAAAGCCCTGGGGTCAAAATTGGCCCCGCCCTTGGGGGTCATTGATTTTCCCTATATGCATATAGTAAAAACTTAAAAAATCTTCTTTTAAAGAACCGTCACAGCTAGAGCTTAGATATTTGGCATAAAACATCTTCTAGTGAATGTCTACCAAGTTTGTTCAAATAAAAGCCCTGGGGTCAAAATTGGCCCCGCCCCAGGGGGTCATTGTTTTTTCCTATATGCATATAGTAAAAAGTTAAAAAAATCTTCTTTTAAAGAACTGTAAGAGCTAGAGCTTAGATATTTGGCATGAAACATCTTCTAGTGAATGTCTACCAAGTTTGTTCAAATAAAAGCCCTGGGGTCCAAATTGGCCCTGCCCCAGTGGGTCATTTATTTTCCCTATATGCATATAGTAAAAACTTAAAAAATCTTTCTTTTCAAGAACCGAAAGCGCTAGAGCTAAGATATTTGGCATGAAACATCTTCTAGTGAATGTCTACCAAGTTTGTTCAAATAAAAGCCCTGGGGTCTAAATTGGCCCGGCCCCGGGGGGTCATTGATTTGCCCTATATGCATATAGTAAAAACTTTAAAAATCTTCTTTTAAAGAACCGTAAGAGCTAGAGCTTAGATATTTGGCATGAAACATCTTCTAGTGAATGTCTACCAAGTTTGTTCAAATAAAAGCCCTGGGGTCAAAATTGGCCCCGCCCCAGGGGGTCATTGATTTTCCCTATATGCATATAGTAAAAACTTAAAAAATCTTCTTTTAAAGAACCCAAAGGGCTAGAGCTTAGATATTTAGCATGAGACATGCTCTAATGGGTGTCTACCAAGTTTGTTCAAATAAAAGCCCTGGGGTCAAAACTGGCCCCGCCCCGGGGGTCATTGATTTTCCTTATATGTGTATAGCAAAAACTTAAAAATCTTCTTTGAAAAAACCCAAATAGCTAGAGTTTAGATATTAAGCATGAAACATCTTTAAGTAAATATCTACAAAGTTTGTTCAAATAAAAGCCCGGGGGTCAAAACTGGCCCTGCCCGAGGGGTGTCATTGTTTTTAACTATATGTGTATAATAAATACTTAAAAAATCTTCTTTTAAAAAACCTAATGAGCTAGAACTTAGATGTTTTGCATGAAACATCTTCTTATGGGTGTCTACCAAGTCTGTTCAAATAAACAAATAAAAGCCCTTGGGTAAAATTTGGGCGGGGGGGGGGGGGGGGCTATATACAGGTGAGCGACCTCAGGGCCATCATGGCCCTCTTGTTTTCTTAAATTTTGATGTTCATGCAGAGGCATAGAGCTTATGGGTTATTCATTGATGTGATATTCCTACATGGAATCATTGATCGGATATTCTTACATGGAATCATTGATCGGATATTCCTACATGGAATCATTGATGTGATATTCCTACATGGAATCATTGATGTGATATTCCTACATGGAATCATTGATGTGATATTCCTACATGGAATCATTGATGTGATATTCCTACATTGAATCATTGATGTGATATTCCTTCATGGAATCATTGATGTGATATTCCTACATGGAATCATTGATGTGATATTCCTACATGGAATCATTGATGTGATATTCCTACATGGAATCATTGATGTGATATTCCTACATGGAATCATTGATGTGATATTCCTACATGGAATCATTGATGTGATATTCCTACATGGAATCATTGATGTGATATTCTAACATGGAATCACTGATGTGATATTTCTACATGGAATCATTGATTGGATATTCCTACATGGAATCATTGATGTGATATTCTTACATGGAATCACTGATGTGATATTCCTATATGGAATCATTGATGTGATATTCCTACATGGAATCACTGATGTGATATTTCTACATGGAATCACTGATGTGATATTCTACATGGAATCATTGATTAGATATTCCTACATGGAATCATTGATGTGATATTCTTACATGGAATCACTGATGTGATATTCCTACATGGAATCATTGATGTGATATTCTACATGGAATCATTGATGTGATATTCCAACATGGAATCATTGATGTGATATTTCTACATGGATTCACTGATGTTATATTCTACATGGAATCATTGATGTGATATTCCTACATGGAATCACTGATGTCATATTCCTACATGGAATCACTGATGTCATATTCCTACATGGAATCATTGATGTGATATTCCAACATGGAATCATTCATGTGATATTCCTACATGGAATCATTGATGTGATATTCCAACATGGAATCATTGATGTGATATTCCTACATGGAATCATTCATGTGATATCCCTACATGGAATCATTGATGTGATATTCCTATGAATCTACTGCTGAAAGATAGTTGTTTTTATAGCCTGCAATAATTTTGCTGTTCAATCTTTATATAATGAAGGTAATTGTTGCTCTTTAAAGATTTGATTGTCTTTATGTAAAATTGCTTTGTTTTATGCTAACCATTGAGATTCTGGTTTTATGTGTGGGATGAAATCCATATTACCCACAGTATATTATCTGCAATGTGGGTGATATAGCTCTGCTGAACTATATTTGATTCAAATATCATTATTTCTCTGAAAGTGTTATAAGTTACTCCACAATAATGACTAAGTCACTTCTATAATGAATTTCTTTTGTTTACCGTTTAAAGTGTGACTTGTGTTTTTTCCTGTTTTATTAGATTCTATACTTAATTAGGCAAAAAAGTATTTTTTTTTTTCGTGAATATGCTTTTATATCACACAAGGGAATTTAAGAAAATCCCCAAATTTTTCCCATTTCCCACAATCTTTAAAAAATTTACTTTTCTCCCCCCCTTTAGTGTTTTTTTAATAGCATTTTCACTCAAAATCTTTCCCAAATTTCCCTTTATGTTTATTGTATTTTTAAATTTTTAATTTTTTCGGGGGAAAAAAACAGGGACAGTCATTCTTAAAAACAAAAAGACATGCATATTTCCAGATCAATTTCCATAATACACACTTTGTTTTGACAAGAAATTATGTTACAAATGTGTATTGGTATTCTCATCGCATTTCATTGAGAAAAGTGATTCCTTCGGTTTAAGCAATTTACAGATGGTATAGTGTGAAAGGACACTTACAGGAATGTGCTTTTCTTGTAGATACATTATTACCATTAATTGTGTAGATTTATCACAAACATCTTGAACGAAAGAATCCATCAAACAAGCACATCCATGCTTTATTCCATAATTATACCTATTCCATCATCATAGAACTTTTCTGACTTTCAATACATAAATTTTAATTTTTAAACGGGTTTTGTGGTTATTTGTTTTTTTTAAAGAAAAAAATTTAAATAAGTATTTAAAATTCTGACAAAAGAAAATGGACAGGTAAATTTTTTAAAAAGCACGGGGTTAAGTCCATTTTTGTCAGCCCATTGTGGGGGAAAGGGTTCATTTAAACCCCTATAAAAATATTTTTTTCCCAGGACAATGGTTTGTTCTTTACATTTTTGAAATGTTTTTAAAAAATTGTAAAACCATAAAAAGGTACTAAAACAAATTAAATTTATTAATCATTTTTTTTAAGCTCACCTTCAAAAAAGGAAAAGGGTGAGTTTTTTGTGATGTTTTCGTCCGGGGTCCCCGCCCGTCCGCCCCTTTCCGAAAATTTTACAAAAAATGACATCTCCTAAAACCAAAAGGGGCCCAAATTTTCATCAAACTTCACAGGAATTTTCCTTTTTGGGGGTCCCCTTTTTTAAAAATTTTCCAAAAAATTTTAAATTCCATGAAAGAACTCGGGTTTGCCAGGGCCAACCAAAAGGAAAAAATTTTAAAAATATCTTTTTTTAAAAAAACCCAAAAAGGGCTAGAGCTTGAAAATTTTGGGAAATAAAACATCTTTTTATGAGTGTCAAACCAAGTTTTTTCCAAATAAAACCCCGGGGGT